GCTCCGGCGATCCTTCCACCTCAGCCTTCCGAGTAGCCGGAATTACAGGCATGCACTACCACGCCCGGCTGATTTTTTGATTTATTTTAGAGATGAGGTCTCGCTGCCCAGGTGGGTCTCGAACCTGCGGGCTCAGGCAATCCACTTACCTCAGCCTCTCAAAGGGGATTACAGGCTGAGCCACTGAGCCCGGCTGAAGCACATCTTCTAATTTACTCAGTACCAAATTCTGTACTCTCTTTCATGATCTCATCTTAACTTATCTTAGAGAGATATACTAACTCATAAAGATTAAATTCAATATGACAGCATTTATTTAACAGCTACTATGTGTGAGGTGCTGATATAAACATGAATAAAATAAAATCTCTACTCTGAGGGAGTTCACTCTGGTGGGGGAAACAGATCTGTGAATAAACAATTCCATACACTGTGACAAATGCATTCAGAGAGCTATATCTAGATGCTACAGGAATAGAAAGAGACTAACTCTGCTGGGGAAGGAGGGCAGTGGGGAAAGGCTTTACCAAAAAGGCTAGGTGTGAAGGATCAATTGCAGCTTCCCACACAGATTGGAGAAAGAAGAGTGCATCTTGGGTTGATTAAGTGCAAAGGCATGGAGATCTAAGAAAGCAGGGGAGGGCAACACCCTTGGGTTCCCTCCCACTGTGGGAGCGTTTCTTCTGTCCTCTCAATAAATCTTAATTTCTAAAAAAAAAAAAAGAAAGCAGGGGATCCCAGGAGAGGTCAGTTCTCAACCACTTTGGACCTTTGCCTCAAATTCAGTGTAAACCAATTCAATGCAATCCTTCCCTATCCCAAGAAAGAATAGCACTGTATATATGTAATGAAAAAAACTAGGGCAATTTTGGAAAGAAGGAAGTGGTTGGTACATTTTGCATTTGTTGGGGAGGCCAGGATTAAAGTGAGCAAACTGTTGGGGACTTTTTTTTTTCTCAGTTGGAGTCTTACTCCGTTGCCCAAGTTGGACTGCAGTAGCATGCTCACGGCCACCCCAGCGGCAACCTGCTGGGCTCAGGTGATCTTTCTGCCTTAGCCTTTCAAGTAGCTGGAACTACAGGCATGTGCTACCACGCCTGGCTAATTTTTAAAAAAAAAATTTATTGTAGAGATAAGGTCTTGTCAAGTTGTCCAGGCTGTTCTTGAGCCCATGAGCTCAGGCAATCACCTCACCTCAGCCTCCCAAACTGCTGGGATTGTAGGTTTCCACTGCACCTGGCCATGATGGGGCCTTTTTATGCTCATGTCCTTGCAGGGGAAGTAAAGGTTCTATATTTTGAAACAAAAGATCAAACAGGCAGACCAAGAACTGTCTGATGGGGAACAAATTTATAAAGGACTGGATAATCTATCAACAAGAAACATTAATTATTTAGAATCACAATTTTATCTCTATGTTAAAGTTGCAATTTTGCATACATGTTTTGCCTTTTGGACTGTGTGATACATCTATACTAATTAAAACAGTAATTAATATACTATTATGACCTTGCAACAGTAGAGCGATTAACACTTTTGAAACAGGAAACTGCATCTTATTTTACTCAAGTGCCTCAGCATTCCATGGTGACTATAAAAGACTAAGGAATTGGGTGCAGTAGCTTACACCTATAATCCCAGCACTTGGGGAGGCAGAGGTAAGAGAATTGCCTGAGCCCATGGGTTTGAGACCAGCCTGGGCAACTTGGCGAGACCTCGTCTCTACAATAAATCTAACAATTAGCCAGGTGGCGCATGCCTGTGGTTCCAGCTACTTGGAAGGCTGAAGTGGAAGGATTGTGTGAGCCCAGTAGGTCGAGGCTCCAGAAGCTATGAGTGTGCCACTGTACTCCGACCTGGGCAACAGAGTGAGATTCCAACTCAAAAAAAAAAAGACTATGGAAGAGAAAGTTAGCCACGTCATCACTTGTTAACTCCAATGCAGCTTTATTTAATAAGTATTATTCAACAATACTTTCTGAAATTGTTGCCCCTGCCCTCAAAAAACTGAAAATCCACAAGTTAGACTCACATTAGTATAAACTACAGGGCTGAGGTTTGCTTTTGATGTTTCTGTCTTGGAATGGTAACTTTTCTTGTCCTCCCTGTCCATTCCACATCTAGAAAAGTCCCAACTCCTTCCTTCTCAGCATTTCCTTTCTAGGAAGGAGATTTATATTACACTGAAAGACAGCTAGGAGATGATGGCACTGACAGGTTCTCAGTCACTAAAGCCAGTAACAGCTGCCACTTTGGTTCTACTGTAGCAACACAAAAAGAAATGCGGTGAGCTCTGATCATGTCACTGCACTCCAATCTGGGCAACAGAGTGAGACCCTGACTCATAAAACCCAAAACCAAAAACAATGAAATAAAACAGACCTTCAAAGGCTAGAACCCAAAGGAAAATCTGTTTCCTACTAACTATACCTGCCATAATTGGGGAAGGGGAAAAGAGGTGTTGTTATATCCTTAACACTAGACCTGGGTAAGATGGATGCTGAGGCTATGCTGGGCTCGGGGA